AGGTGTCCCCAACGCAGCAGGGATAATCGTTTATTCCATAAGCGACACTGAGATGGTTGGGGTAGGGGCGCTGCATATCTTTTGCGCAAACCCCGAAAAAAATCCTTACTGTACTACAATATAAATATGACGTAAATTCAGAATGATTTTTAAAAATACAAATTAACAACTAAATAAAATTGTAGTTAGACGGGCATCGAAAACCGACTGAAAAAAATGCAAACCAAGTGCCTGTTTTCCGACTGGATATCTGGTTGGTTCAAAAACCAGAATACCGCTCAATGTGATTGCCAATCAGTGTTGCAAGCTTCTAGGAGTAGTCTTTTTACACCACGAAGTGTAACACAAACAGGTGGTCCATGTCTCATGAGTTTCGGCACGTGGCGCAATGAAGTAAAATAAGATTTTGTTTGGTTGATACACGAACTAGAGTGGGAGGCCAACGTGCACCATCCTCGATGACGGCATGCTCTGGTATAAATTGAACGGATTAAAAAGGCTTTGCGACGAAAATTAACGACAGGCAGTAGGCATAGAACAGTCCTCCCTACTATCTACCGAATAACTCACTGTTTATGACCACAGGAAAATAGGCACAATACTGCCAATGTTTTTCTTATAGGGTAAGAGCGCAGGAAGAATAAAAACGATTAAAAAAGTAGACGTTTTGACGAAGAGTGTCGAAATATGACAAAGGGAACCTTAGCGAACCTCCATTTCTTCTATTTGCTTCAGATGAGAATGTCGAATGGTCTGTGCCATGTTGCGCGACTCTTCCAATTGTGTGCGCAGCATTTTTACCTCGTTAAAGAGAATGTTGAATTGAACTTTGAGTGACCTGTAGGACGGTGATTCGTGTATGAGCGACTCAGAAGGGTCGGACAGCTAAAATAGACAAAAAGTATGCCTTCTGATGAACGATCAAAAGGATAGTTAGGAGTGACAGCTACATTTCAAACAGTGTTAAGAACGTCAATACGAGCGAGAGACTGGTTATTCGTATGGTAACGTCAATCTGCTAAGACAATTTCTTTGATTCCACTTCGCATTATCGCCGCAAACAATCGTCTTCCACAGATGATCTGACGACAGGCTCCAGGTCTGTGTGCCAAACAGGTTAACACGCCAGGGCCAAAGATCGAAAATTGTGCTGACAGAAAGGTGATTCCGGTGACTCACTTCTTCAGTTTGTCATCTCACTGCCGACGCCGTCCAGGGTCGCGTCTGCGCAAAATTACAAGTGGCCTTCAAGTCAGAATACAAGTTCGCCAAACCTTATTTCCGGTTACTATCGTGTGCCTTTCCAAATGTGGGACACCTGCAGTCTTCTAGACTGCTCATGTTTTTTTATTATGAAATGTGCACACCTCTGTATGTGTAAGGTAACGGTTGTTGATGGGGGGAGGGGGGTATAACCAACTAATGTCGTCAGCCAAGAATCGAAACCTCCCCTGGCATAGCCCCCCCCCCTGTTTATTGACTAACGGTTTACGAGAATGGTTAGAGCGGTTCCTTAAGTCACGCAACACGGTTAGCATGCCTAAACTACACTGAAGAAATCTGTTACAGATCAAAACGCCCGAGTTGTATGTAAATTCAGCGCTAGCCAGACCCTTCAGCTCCTGCTCCCTAGATTAATATAATAGGAAAACAACGCAGAAGCTATGTGCATGCAGAGGTATCTGTAAGTACTGCCTAAATGCCTTATAAATTGTTTATGAAAATCTACAGAATCTGCTGGCTGGTGGGGCCAATATGAGGGTCACATACCTGCATGCTGAGTCTGGCACACTCAGCCACCTTCTCTTCGTGCTGGCGCTGCAGACGCTCGAGTTCGGTGAGTCGATTAGTGGCCAGTTCGCGCTGTTCTTCCAGTTCACAGAGGATGTCGTTGTACTTGCTCTTGGCGACAGCACCCGCAGAACTGCCAACACCACCGCCAGCAGTCAGTAGAGACAGGCTGTCCTCATTATCTGTGTGAGTTAACGCAAAAGGAGGCGTAGAATGAAGCGGTGAGATTCGAGTGGATGTGTGCACGTATGCAATGTTATCCCTCTCCCAAAACGGACCATGTGGCAGTTGCACTAGACTAACACGAGGACAAGATCAGGATATGACAGGCGTTATTCGGATTGCGCTCCTATAACAAATGCCGAACATGGGGCAGGGGGCATGGTCGCAGGCATAGGGACGGCTTCGTCCGCGCCAACCGTCTGCGGTCTTTTTCACTCTGTTTTGACACTGGGCAAGGGTGGGCGAGGGAAGGAAGAGAGCGTGCAGTGTATGCTGCAGAAGTCTACTACTATTTAAAACTAACCCAAATGCAAGTCACCACCCCTGCACAACGCCGTTCTGGAGCATATGGTGGTAATCGTCCATATTGACGGTCGAGCTGTCGGACATGTATGCAATAAAATTGTCCTTGTGTGGGCGTTGCCGTGGTAGATCGTTAATGTCTACAGAAACAGTGCTAAGAACAGGCCGGAAGCTTAATAAAACAAACGGCAAGAGCCGGATTACAGACAGATGAGTGGAA